ATTACCTAAGGCTGATTATTTAAAATTAATTGCAAAACTGTGGGAATAAAGCCTTAGTTTAAAGGTCATTAGTGCACCTCTGCTTTGAGTTCTCCCCCTAGTGGCTGAAGTTGAAGTTGCAGTTGAACTCCCTGCAAAATCAAACCAAGATCAGCATCATGAAGCATTATAAACTGAGATCAGTTATACCTGACAGGAAATTCACATACCATACTCCTTCCTGCTGTACTCCAGGGAAGAATCGGAGCTTTCTGAAGCACAAGAAGGATCAAATGAAAACTCGCCCTGCATTGAAACTGCAAACAGTAGAAGACGTGACCTGAGACGAACCGTCAAAGACGTCTGACAGAGCAGCTGCCATGGTGGTCACACTCTTCCTCTCCTTTGGAGGAAGTGAGTACGTAATGCCAGAGGATGACGAGCCCTTCTTCCCTTCTCTGGACCCTCCTGATGTGTAGCTGCTTTTGGTCACCGTGGAAACGGTCACAGCACCAAGACCCCCTTCTTTTTTAGTTTCTCTGCTTCCACTTCCAAAACTGTAGGACATGCTAGAGGACCCTCCTCCTGCTCCTCCTGCTCCTCCTGCTCCTCCGGCCTCTTTAGACCGCTCTCCTCTCCCTGAGGCCACAGTGGCCCCTGAGGTCCCTGAGGTCCCTGACCTCTGACCTGAGGACTGGGCAGAGGAAGTTCCTACGGTGGTGACGCGTACGTTTCCGGCTCCAGAACTGCTAGATTTGATCAGAACTGAGCTGCTCGTACCCTCCGATCCTCCTGCTGCAGCTTTTCCACCTGAGCCACCGGAGCTGAAAGAAAAATCACCTGAAAGCAAAGGAGAGAAATCAGAAAATACCAGATTTCTTTCCCTGTTTTTATCAAAGTAAAATTCCTGGAGGGAACATTGGATGGAAAACATGAGATTCCTGAAACCCATTTTAATTTGCAAGACTGAACTGGCAAAGTTCATATATCATCTGTAAAGTGAGCAATAATGTTTGAGTTTTTTATTTGGAAACCTTCCCAAACCGCATGTCTTAACAGGTTTTATTACTGTAAACCTGCAGATCCTCCACTCTGATAACAGAACCATTTATTACATGCACTTATTTCTGCTGCTGGCTAATTATTTTTTTCTTATTCAATTAAAAATGAAAAAACTAGATTATGTTTAGTTTTTACTGGAATGAATGATGAGAAGTCTGATTAGCACTGACACATATTTATCATTGTTTTTCTGGTTTTACATGTTTGGTTTTACAACTTAAAACTTAAATCCATTTCTTTTTATCTTCCAATTACTTACTTTTAATATCTTAATACAACAATACAACATGCTCTGAACATCATGAATATGTAAATAAGTAAGTAGAAGAATACTAGTGTGTTTTTCATTTTCCGTTGTCTCTTCATTTGGGAATAACATCCAAATATTTTCGAGTTTCATGACGGAAAGACACTGAACTCAGTGTAACGGTGTTACTATCATTAACACAACATAATAATAATGTATTTCATGCACAAAACCTAAGAGGAACATGGTTCCAATATATTTAGCTTGATACAGTTTAGGATATAATGACACAAAGAACTAAAAACAAAACTGTCACTACAATACTGACATGTTCCCAATGTGCAGCAGCCATGTTGGATTTTCAGGTGCGAAAACAGCAAAACTTACTCTGTGATGTAACTCCACAGGCTGTCACTGATTTTTTGACCACTGTAGAAAAAACCCCAACAGTGAGTATTTAAATCCAACATCTGTTTTAATATTAGTTTCTGACATAACCAGATTGTATCAAACCTGCAAAAATACAAATTTATGAAACTTATTTAATTTCTCCCTCTTTTAAATGGCATCCTTAAAATACCATTAAATAACCTTATATGTGATCAACCTCAGTATAATTTACGTGATGAGTTATGAGGTTGTGTCATAATTTCACTCACCACCTGAGCTGCTGCTGGCTGCAGCTCCTCCACCTGAGCTCACCACTTTCTCTGCGGTCACCTTGTCCATCCAGCAGCTGGAAATAAATCACACTTTACTTTGCAAAGCAGAGTTCAGAGTACAAAAATGGAAAATGTTCATAATGCTGAGCTCAGGTGTTATTACCACCTGAGGCGATTCATACTTTTCTGAGGCCATGTAACTTTTTTTTTCATCAAGGCGTCATGATTGATTTAAAGCTTTAACCTGAAGACTTTCAGACAGGTGGGGCTGATTAATGTGACTCTGCTGAACAAAGGAATCTGCCCAGAGAGAGCAGGTGTGAGGTTTCAGCCATGTCTAAAGGAAAGTATCAGGTATTTACTCTGGTTATACATGACAATTAAAAATATATCTTCAGGCAGGTGTTCATTTCAGGTGTTTTATAATTAAACTTCTATTTTCTCTCATCCTGGTTACTTTCCACCAATCAGGGTTTGCTGCCTGTTAGAGCCGATGATCTGAAGTCAAAATATGATTCCTCAAAATCACCCTTACATTTCTATTAATCAGTTAGTCAGGGAAACAAGGAGCATCAACAGATTTTAAACGGCTTTAATTTAATATTAAGTGGTGTTTAAAAAACAAAAAAGAAATCATGGCATAAATATTTTTAACCAACATAATTTTTGTTATTTAGTTTAATTTCTGCTGAGGGTCTCAGGATCCCCCAGCAGGGCCAAAAACTCCAACTTTTTTTGTTACCGTTTTCTGAGACAATTGTTATTGTGCAACAAAAAAAAAAAAAAAAAATCACATACAAATAATTTAATTATATTAAATGTATGTCATTTCATATAATTTTTCTGATTTTTTGCAACCACATAAACACCAACTAATAACTAACTAACTAATAAATAATTAGACTATTTAAAGTAAAGCGTGTATTTGGAGCTCATTTTTATGTTCTTGTACTTTATTTAATTATTTATTTGTATATTTTAAAGTATATATCATTTTTTACAGCATCTATAAATAATTAAATGTTTGTATTGCATTTCTGACATTAATTGCTTTTAATGGAAAATTATGACAGAGTTGCTTTCAAAGACAAAATCTTATTTAACTCAGATTTTTAGTGTTTTAACAATGCAGCTGATTTTAAAGTTAAATTTAAAGTTCTGTCCTGATTTTAGTATGAACACCATCTGAATCCCATTTTTCCTTAGTTGTCCTAAAAATGTTCAGTGTTGACATTTTTCTACTTAAATTTTGAAGAATAAAATATTTATTTATTTTTTAGATTATTTTTAAAACCTGAACTAAACTTTTATAGTTTTTTTTTTACAGATTTGGTTTATTAAAACATAAGTTTATTAAAGTTTATGATGAGATCTTTTGACATCCTGAAGGTAATTTTTGCCTGAGATGTTATTAGTGAACATTTTTTTAAACCTATAAGTTTCATTCTGTTTTCCTTAAAAATATAACAAAGTAAAAATATTTAAATATAAACATGTTTGTACGCCACCACTGATTCATTTCTCCAAGCAGGTTCAGATTCTGTATAAAAACACAGAAACTACGTCTTGTCACATTTAACTTTACATTACAAAATACAACTTGTTCAGTTTTATAAAATTGATCATAAATACAATAATGATCCCTTTAATTCAGTTTCTGTTTGTTTCTGCAACATTCAACTTTATGTCATTTATTTTTGGTTTTTAACTTTGTGCTAAAATCAGTGATTGTTTTTATTGTTTTATAAAGTCATTTTTAAAGTATAAAATTTCTTATGATATTATTATAATAACATTAACTTCCTGCTTAAGTTTCCTATAAAACCTCACATTCACTTTAACTTGTGCTTGGTTGTAATTTAAACTTTCCATCCATCTTTCCTGATTTTTATTTATATATTTTTTGCTAATGAATAATCTGTTAAAAGCAGAACTCACTCAGGTGAAAACACGCCTCACTGATCCGGTGCTTTCAGGGATTTTACGTAACAAAATCACCTGTTATTACATTAAAAAACCTGTGTTTGCGTTTACCTGTTAGATCATTTCTGCAGCGTTTTCCCGTCCGGCTCCTCTTCGCTGACCAGATCAGGGAATGAAGACGGGATGTCCAGGTTCTCCGTGGAAACGACTTGCAGCTCCTGGGACCCACATGCACCTTCAGAGTTTTTGTATTAACTTTCTGTGACTCACAGCTTCAGTCGACAAGTTTCAACAGAGGCTGGAGGCTGGGGGGTCGGTGCTGCAGCCTGTGGCAGGCTGAGCAGGAAAATAATGGCCCCAGGCTGAAATAAAGAGCAGAAGTTGATGAAAGTGATCAGACAATGAGCTTGTACTGCTTTTAAATGGCTTCTGTTTGTTTGAGGTTAAGAGCTTGTTTGAGGTTTTGAAGATGAAATGGAGTCTTCCTTTTAAAAGTCTTTAAGGACAGAATCAGAGCTGCAGTTTGGGAGAAAAAAGTTTGCATGTTTTTGGCTTTGGAGAAGCAGTGAGGCGAGCTGAGCTCAGTTTTTTTCACAGCACTGTTCAGGTTTGTTTTTGTTCTTCTCAGTGAAGCTAGCAAAAACATTTCTATACAGTACATTTCAATTTCTCAATAATAAATACAAAAAATTATTTTACATTCAAAAGCAACAGAATAGTTTGATTTAGATTGAAAAGATTCAGTTTGGCATCAGAGAAGTTGCCTTGTAGATGAGTTGTGTCACATTCGGTCTTCAGGTTTGGCGTTGGAACCAGTGGATACTTGAAGGTGTAACAGACATTGTGTCATTTGCACACGGAGTTGTAAAGAGTGTGCTCATCCATCCATTGTCTGTGTCCACTTATTGCAGGGTTTTATTAGGAATGGTGATCATCTCCAGCGGTCAAACGAATCCGTTTTCTCCTCAGTTCTTCAGGAAAACGTCGCTGCAGTCTCTCCTTGTTCAGGCTCGTTGTGGTGGACCTCTGTGGAGGGATGTTGGCCAGTCTGCTTTGCTGAAGTGGTTTTATTCAGGAAGGCTGGATTTTAAACATGAATGAACTGCTTAAGTCCAGACTTTGACTAGGACACTCCCTGCGGGGCTCCTCTCTAGCATCTTTGAGGATCTGTAAAGGCTCCCGACCCACAGTGTCCTGTGTGGTGTTGTTGGTGGAGTGATACTGGAATCCTCAGTTTTAACGCAGTAAAACATCCACCTGCATTAAATGCAACACTGTGCATTACCTCAGACACATGCAAACGGTGGTCAAACGAGCTCAAACAATCCAAATGACTGAAGGTCACAGAAACAGGCTCCTGATAAAACAAAGTGGCCTGTCTGCTCTGATGCTAGAGGGAGTTTTGATTTAATGAATCAATCATGCAATAAGGATTCCACCTTCAGATTGACCTGTTTTAAGCAAACCTGCCTTGGGACATGAAGACATACAGCTTCTGGTACAGCTGTATATCAAGACAGAACATGAAGAAAAACCAAACAGAAAAACAAACAGAATTTCAATCTTTTATCTCTTCAGTCCACAGGAGATTTTCCCTGAAAGGTTTGGGGTCACGGCTGTGGTGCAGGGTAAAGCAAGCGACCTTCAGATGAGTCTCTGATAGAAAATCTGTCAGATTTCACAGAGATGGAGCAATAATTCATGAAACAATCCTGATCCAGTTTCAGCCAACAGTGGAACTCATTGCTTTGTTTCTTCTGCTAAAGCTAATGACCAAAAACTTTCATTTAGTTTAAGAAATAGAAAACTGCACAAACTTTGATTAGAACAGATTTAACAAGCTTTGTAAATCTCATCTAAACGTTTTAACCATCCGATGAACCAGAATCAGGAAGGAGTTCAAAATTAAAGCTTAACATCAAGAGAAACTTTGAGTTTATTACATTACTTTAACTCTTGTTAATGTCATTGATGCTGTTTGTTCTCAGTTAAAAACAATAAAAATAAAATAAACCATAAACAATAGGATCAATATCCAGGCCTTATCCCAGTCTGATACTCTGGATCTGTTGCTCCAACTTGTCTGAAATCTGAATACATTTTTCTGTGACAGGATGTTTCAACACAGTTTGTTAATTTAGAACAAATCAAATGATCCTGGCTGTATTGAACTCAGGCGGAGTTTTATCCATCCATGATGACGCTGTCACTCTCCTTCGCCTCCATAATAATGTTTTCCATCCCAGACCCATCTGAGAATTATTAATTCGAAGGAATCGTGACTGAGTGCCATTTGAACTCTTACCCAGCAGCTAAATATTATCTGTCAGGTATAATTTGTCCTGGCAAGTTTGGATTCAGACCCACATTCTTGAGAGATTGGTGGATGAAAAATTAGAGAAAAATCCTGATGTTCAAACAGAACTGATGGAAATTTGAACTTCTGAGTTAAAAGATGAAATGTTTTCATCATTTATGACCAAAATGTTCACCTGCTGGATGAGTCATGTTCAGGTGGCTCCTGAAACATGTTTTATTAGGTTTTCTCTGGGAGGCAGAGTTTGAGTCAAAATCAGGCAATGAATCCTCCTCCTGTTGTTCCAGAAGCCCCCGAGTTTAAAGATGTTTCAGAACCAAATGTAACCAGGAGCTTTCACAGTTTACAGTCCTGCTGGTTCAAGAGGGCCCATTAGTGAGCCCATATGGGTCCCATAACACAGTGCAAGTCAGACTTTTATGTGCATATTATACTGGCTGAGGGCTTCTAATTATTTAGATCAATTTTTACTTTTAAGGGTGAAATGATCATAAAACAAAGCAAAACTAAAAAGTTGAAAACATAATTTGTTCAGATCTAAATTTGTAGTGACTTTTCTATAATCCATACAGGATTATTTTTACATATATGCTCTCCAGGAGTGTTGCTGAAAAAACTGACTCAGGCATTTGTATATTTGTATTACTGCTTTGTATTTAAAATAATATGCCTTTTTATCTGTTTTACCTTGCTGGTGTGATTTTTCCCAGCGGCTCGGCTCGTTTGGAGGGATCTGAGATGTGGTGGAACAGCCCAGTCTCCAGATCTCTGCAGACAGAATTGGGCCAGGCTCTGATTTTATGTGGTGGTATCAGTGATTTTAGTAAAGCTAATTTTAACTTCCGTTCTGTTTTTGTTTTTCTTAGAAACCACAAATGGGACAAAAGTATTATTAGACGTGTTTGCAGGGAGAACGGGATAAAATACCATCTCAGTGATAAAACAGGCATGATTTCCATTGGTGTTTGCTACGGATAAGAAGAATTTTGAAACCATTGAAAGAACTCATGTCTTGGACTTGTTTAAAAAACTCTCTCTGTTTTTTCTAATGGACTCAAGACAGAAACAAAACAGAAGTCTGACAGTTAGAGTTTCAGCAATAGTCGGTATTGGTCTAACATGTGGGTGGAGAGTTTCAGAGAAGCCACAAGGCAAATCAGGTGACAGCTCTGACCTTCAGCCCTCGCATCGTAGGCAGAAGGAAGATAAATCAGAGAGACGAGTCGGTTCTGACTCATCTGAAGGAACGCAGCAGCAAAGGAGTCGAGGCTCTTCTTCAGATTTTGATATTGCTGAACACCGGACATTTATTCTAAGCTACATTATTAATATTAATGTACTTTTTTATTATTATATCAGGACTATTATTGTCGTTGCTGTTTTACATTAAACTACTTTTTTGATCTGCATTTGTATTTGAAATGGAACTTAAGCATATCATATTTTTTCACAAGGTATTATTCCTTATTTTGTGTGTAAAAGATTCAAAACCAATGGTATAAAACGTGTTTAACTATTCTGTATTATAAAAGATATAATAATTTGTGTTCCAGAATATTTATTTCTGCCACTTCTGCTAGTTTTAACAAGTTTTAATTAGTGGATACCAATTGAACAATTATTAAGTACAACATCTTATTTTAATTAGTCTCAAAGTTTTGTTCATTTTATTTTATTTTAAAGTCAATTTTTTTAAAAAAAGAAGAAGCTGTATTTCTCACTAAAAAGTAACGCCAAATATTAAAGCAACGTAAAGTTTACTGTAATAGGCTTTATGAACCAGCAGGTGGCGGTAATGCAACTCCAAACCAACCACTAAAATAGAGAAAGAGGTGTCATGGCGGCTTCCTGAACGTTTAACCTGAAGATTCACAGACAGTTAAACATTTAAAAGCCTCCGGTTTTTTAGTCTCGAAATGACTATCAAAGACCCGATTAAGTGGAATTACAGAGTGTCTGCAGTTTACGCTCTGGGGATCTGGACAATATTAGGATCCTACGCTTTTTTAAAATATACAGGTCGTTTGGACGATCCAGTAGGTGAGTAAACTGAGAGGAAAATCACCAAGGAGACAGAATCCCGATTAGACGAGATGTTACTTATCATCTGTGACGATTTTTCATTTTAGTAAAGTCAAACTAATTTGTCTTATTGGATAACTTTTCTTAGCTGTTTAGCGTTCTGATGGATAATTAGCTTTAAAAGGCGGCACTGAGAACTTCAGTAAGAATTCATCTGATTTTAAGATATTGTCGGTTTACAGTGATTCTATGATAGCTATCTGTTCAAATATTGGTCAGTAACACCAATGAATACTAAACAAGTAATTCGTCTGTAGTTATCTGTTTATTTGTTGCATTTAAAGAAGGAGTAACCACTGCCAGTGACTTGAGATGGTTTTCTACTGTCTCATTGACTATTTCTCCCCACAACTCAGCGAACCAAAAATTCGAAGAGCCAGAAAATCCCAACAAGCATATCTACGAAACTGCTCACTCCAAAACCATCATCGTTTATAAGGAAGATTTCGTCCCCTACAGCAGGAGGATCTACAATTTCATCAAGTCGTTGAGTGGAGGATCAGGAGCTGGAGATGGCGACAAGTAGCTGCTGGACATGTTTTAAAAGACAGACTTGCTGTTTGCATATTTGAAGAGGCTGTCTTTCATTATTTTGCCAAAAAAGAATGTCCAAAAACATCAGGACTAATCATCTCTGCAAAGCAATGATCAAGTTGTCACAGAGTATTTTATTAAAGCTCTAGATATTTAGGAATTTTTGCAAATTAATTGTTTCATATAATTGGTTTTACAACAAAAAGTGTTTTGCAGCCAGTTTAATTCATTTAGGCTCTAATTTCCAGCAGATTATGACCCACATTTGGAAAAATCATGAAAAGGGGAAATGGGCAGCATTCTATATTTCTTATATGTTTATTGTTTGGGGAAAAAAACTAATATCTTCTTGTGAATTAAAAATAAGGATACTTGAATTTATTCCATCAAGAGTTTTTGAAATGTAATAAATGACTGCATTTCTTGAAAAATAACAAATAAATAAGTTATAATTGGTATGAATTTCCCATTCATTTTGGGTTCTTAGTTTGTCTGAATTTTTTTTTTGTTTTGTTTCTTTTTTTTGTTGTTTTTTTACCTCATGTGTCACGGTCCTGCTTGAACACCCATTTGTTTCACAAGTTTTAACAACTTATCCCAAAGCAGATTAAATTAAATTGATTACAATGTTAGGGAACAATACAGGA